AATTGTCTTCACTTCACAACTAATCAAATGTTTGTCACGTTTTTAGTCGTATTTATAAACAAAACCAAAATATTTGTATAGAAATTACGTCCAAATCATTGCAAACTTAGCACTCAATTATTGAACTCAAGAATACGATTGCATTGACATAAATATTGTGCTTATTTTAATTGAATCTCACCTTGTTCATTTATAAGAAAATAATGGCACTAATTAAAATCTCTTATTGTTTTTATATTCATTTTGTAATTGTATCAATGTACTTTACTAGATTGAGTTATTAGCTATTTTAAAAATATTGCACAACACTATAGAATCCAATTAATGTGTATATAGCTAATATACTGTATATAGCTGTATAATGCTAACCGAATTAGCAATATATAGTTATTCAATCATTAATCAACATTAATCTGATATCTAAAATGTATTGATAAATAAAGTGTTTACTATTTATACTCTATTAATATACTGTAGTGATAATCAATATTATAAGAATAATAAACTCATGTTTAATGTTTATATTACAATATTAGGTTAGAATATTCCATTAACAACATGTTTTACAGTACTACTGTTACAGTATACCACTTTAAACTACTGTATATTAAATAATAATTATGATACAATTTAATAGTAAAGTTTTGGTTTTAAAAATAACTTAGTGCTGTATTAAATAAATCTTAATCTTAAATCGTGTACAGTATACTGTATTAAGATTCTTAAAGCAAACATATGATTTATAAAGATATATATTATATATTAATATTAATATTAGAATGACTGAATTCCTATGCATAAAATGTTTAAAAATTTACATTAAAGCTATAAATATCATTTAAGTGACAATTATAAGTCATATAAGCTATTAAATGATTATTTAAACCTCAAAATATGAACACAAAATTGTCATATATTTTAAACATAATGATAGAAACATAGGAATCAGAGAATTGCTCTGAAACCAGAATAAACCGGATATTTATAGTATAATATAATACATTATGGGTTGTCATTGCTATCTAAACCAGTTTTATCTAAACTTAATATCTAGTATTCATATATGATATCATATCTCACATCTTATCACTAATGTATTAAGAAATCAATTTAAATTGGTTTTTATTATTTTGTTATTTTATCAATTTCTATTTTTTCATTTTCAGTAAATTAAGTCTTATTTTGCTTATTAAAAATTAAATCATAATTGGAAACAAGTTAAGCTTGGTAAATTTATATAAATATTTTTGGAAACAAATATTTTTTGTTTTGATCAAATAGTTTAGTGCAAACCTTTCAATTATATAATCAGTTAATGACTTATTATCATATATACATAATCTAAAGGTTAGTAAAATGAACTTAATTTAACATTTCTCTCCCTTTATCTTAACTTTATACCAATAAGTTATAGTGATTTTATTGAGATCATTATAACAAAAATATTCTCATTTCTTAGATATGTTATCAAAACTGATTGGAATTATACTTATTTTTCATATTAATTTTGATAAACTTTGTTCAATTAGTGATATAAATGTCTTTGAATCTAACGTTTAGTCAGTTGTAATCATTTTTGTCAGTATATAAGTTATATTGAATATAATATATAGTGTTTTATGTTTTGTTTAATTTGTTCAAACAATATTTTCCTACTTTCGGTAATTACTCTAATTATCTTGTATGTTACATTATTTTATAAAGTTTGGAAATTGAAAAATAATCAATTTCAATATGATTTACAAATTTTAACCGATAAATGTTAGTTGCTGTTCATATGCATACTCTTTAAATATTTCTTTCGACTTTAATTTTTTGAAAAATTTAATTTATTTTTATTATTATAAATATATTTCATATCTGGATAACTATATAGTGTAGATATTTTACTATATAATCCAAACGAATCTATTAATATACAAACTACAGAATCTTATAATACTTTATTTGAAAACTGTCTGTCATTTCAATGACGTCTGGTGTTTCTATGACATCAGAATCTGTGAAAACTGAAACTGAATTCAATGTTTATAAATATATTATTCTCTCTACTCTTACTCCTTAGCATAAAGTGAAGCCAATCCTTGCATTCACAATAATTCTCATTTAAAAAATTATGGGATTACTATTAAATTTAATAATTCTTTTTATATTTGTTCATCGATAATAAATATTTATATTTTACAAATTTTAATATTTTTAGTTAAATAATTTAATATTGAATACATTTTGTAGTGTATATTTTATACAATTAATGTAAATATAATGAATCTCTTATATAATATGAAGAATCAATTATTGCTAAAAATATTTAATGATTCATGTGTATTTATTAAGTGCCGATTTTATATAAATGAATTTTCATTTATTTAAATTAATTCATTGGTATGACATTAATTATATATCATGTTAAAATTTGGGAATTTACCTGGCTAGTAAATAATTTGCTTGAAACCCTTCAAACACTTAAATTGATTCTAATTGAAATATTAAAATATACTTCTAGTGTTGATTATTCTTATATATAAGCGAAAGGTTTTAAATTATAGTTAAAACTTTGAATTTGAAAACATTTGCACAAAATATTGCTTCACAATTAGTTGATAGTCAGAGTTTTTAATAGTCATAAATGTGTTATCATTCTTAGTGATTTTACAAAAAATATAAATACTAAATTGAATGTATAATACTAATAGTAACTTTTGTCTTACTTAAAGGTACAATAAACAAAGCAATCAAAGACTTAGACATTATTTTAGTGGCCAATCATTAGCACAAACGATGTCTTATTTGCTGCGATTCGGTGTAGTGGCGGACGTGCAGTACGCGGACAACGATGACCGTCAGGCCTGGTATGACGCCAACAAAACCAGGTTTTATCGAAACTCATTGACACAAGTGAAGAAAGCCTTCTCTCATTGGAATTGTGAAGAGAATCAAAACCAAGGAATCAGTTTTGTTCTCCAATTGGGAGACATCATCGATGGCATCAATGCTCAGCCCCGAGAGTATCACGACTCCAGTCTCGACGCTATTAGGAG